AGATACTCCACCAAAAATGTCAAAAATAAAATCAACAAAATGTACACTTAGGTTGGATTCCATGAAAAGGAATTATATCCTCACAGCTGCTGTTCACTGGAGTTAGTGCCGCAGCTACAGCACCCTCCCTGTAGTTGGAAGGTACTTTTACATGCAATTAGCGTCAAGCTCGTTTGGAACAGTCTCACTGCCTGACAGCTCTCATCATCCCACGGACAGGAGCAACTGAGGAGCTTCAATCAGCCGTGTCTGTCGGGTGAGCCGAGGCGGTGCAGAAGTGGGCACGCTTTAATGGGGCAGGTGTGTAGGGAAGAAATACTGTTCTTTATTCAGAGACCAATTATTGCAGACAATAGCTGGCATTCATAGGACGTTTCCAACCCCACAGTAAAAGCACAGATAGAAATGCAACTATGGCTGGGACAGAGAAAATAAACCAGAGTACTCCAGTCCTGGTGCAAGCCAGAACTCCTTTGATACAGAACAAGTGAAAAAACTCTTACTCCTTTCAAAAATAAAAAGAGAAGTTTCGGTACTCAGTCATATTTAAATCAAGGCACAAATTATGGGATTATCCTGAAACTTCTTGTCAAATGTTTAAAGTATGGGTGGACTTAAAAAAGTACACAGTATTTCAAGAGGTCCCAGGTTTCCTGTGGCACAGTCTGTGCTGCCAGGAAGTCCATCACTTAACTAACTATTCAGCTCCTTCAAGCTGGGGAGGAACAGGGTCAAAGCTGGATTATACAGTTCTGGGAATATCTGTGGCATGTGCAGAACACCAATAACTGACACAGCAGACACAGCTTCTCTGGCTAGCAGCAGTGGCACAAAGATTTTGGTAAACTCCAGAGGCGTATTTTCAACTGTGAGCTAAGACCACCAAGAAGAGGTTGTCAGAGAGCTTTCTTTTGACTGCTAAAAACAAAGACAATAAAATCAAAAGCTCTCAAAGCAAATGGCCAGTAGTGTGTAGCATCTTGAACAAAGCACCAGCATCATCCATTCTAAAAGAGGTCTAAAGCTTAACCACAGGGAAAAAGAACCCAAAACCCAACAAACCCACAAAAAAACTCCCAAAGCAAGTCAACCTATATAGAATACACCTGGAGGCAGATGCTCATCGATAGAGTCTGTAGTAGCTTTACTGACTTTTCTGTTAAAATGGATGTGACAGAAGAACTCCTCTACATTGCAGCACTACTTAAGATACCTGACAGCTTTCATGAACTTTAAATCTGCTTTTACTGGATGCATTTATAGAAGTCAGAAAAATTCAGAGTTTGTAGGAAAAAAAATGTTCTCGTAGATGTGATTTTAATTTCACTGTTCCAGAACGTGTTGGAAGATGTCTTTTTTGTAGTTTTCCTAGAATTGAAAATATTCAGTACATTATATGGAATTTTAGCAGATATTAAATATATTTTAAAAATATTTTCTCCTATACGTTTCTCAAGCAAACATCCCTGATAATTTCTGCTGACTATAATCTGCATTAGATTTTCTAGATGGTCTTTTACTTTGGTCTAATACATTAGTCCTAAATATCGTAAAATAAAGTAGATAATCTGAATCTCCTACAAAGGAAATGAAAACATTAAGGGGGGGAAAAAACCTCACTGCCTAATTTTTTATGGAATAGCTCTTCTCCAAAAAGGTGGTGATAAAACCAATTCTTTTTAAAATTCAATTTATTTGGTGTTTTTATCTAGTCAGTCACATTGACTGATGCTAAGGGTAGAAATTGAGACAAGGAGGGAAGATGTTTTGATTTCTGTTAGACCAAAAGATCAAGGTAATTGTGACGGGAAACTGGAAAATGAGCTGGAGTCCCTTCTGTCTGGCATGTTAATGGCAGGTTTGTTAACAAAATGACAAGCACAAGGCTATCAGCGCAACACAACTCTCTCAGTTCTGCTCTCAGCCACATATGTGCAGCTCCAGGCTCCAGTGATTCACATGAAACTGGAAACAGAGCTCGGCCTCAGGAGCCTGAGCTGCTGCTGACAATATAAGACAGAAACGGTGCAACTGGACTTTAAGATCCCAAGTCAGCTTGCACAGCTAAAAACACTGAATCCAACTGTAATGTAATGTAATGGCCAGTCTTCGCGAACGAAGAACCGGGGAAGGTCTTTCCACCTTCCAGCCTGCGCATTGGATTTTTTAGGTGAGACACAGTGTGCGCGGAACTGAGCCCACCCTTTAATCCTGAGGTTCATCTGCCGGGGCCAAGCACGCTTGGACGGTGGCAGCGAGGTCCTCAGGACGTA